AGATGACTTCCAGACAATAAATAAGAAGGAACTGTAATTCTAATTAGAATATTTTACTTATTTAATTAATTGTAGCATTAAAAACTGTGTCAAGAATAAACTTTTGTAAACTTGTGCCTTAGGATACACAAGAATTCATTAAATCATTTGAGACTGAAGCTGCAGAGAAGAGAGGGAGCTACACTGCACAAGACCATTCCCTGCAGGAGAGAGTCAGAGCTCAGGTATGACTATGATATTACTGTCTGCAGCCAGCAGAGGTTCTCCTGTTCTTATGTTATTAAATGAGACCTTTTGTCCTGCAGCTGCGTGCAGCACTGTATGACGTCCATGAGATTTTCTTCGAAATGCCTTTGAGGGATCGATTAGTGCTTCTGCAGCAGGACAGGGAGCTACGTGCAGAGAGAAAACTTCGAGAGCTGGTAATTTAATAACTAAGGCCAGTTTTTAATGACATTATTATTGAGGATTCACAAGGAACATTTTAACTTCGGAGGCAACAGCGTTTTTTCCTCCAGTTTTTAACTAGAGAATATTTCTTGATTTTCCTTTCGTTTCTGAAGAAACATTTTCTTTTAAATCTTTTTTGTTCTGCAGGAGAAAGCCAAGTCCCCCAAAGACAGGGTGTCCATTTCTGCTGCCACACAAAGAGCTCTAGACAGAAAGAAGAAGTAAGATGAGATGGAAACCTACAGACGTGCTGTTTCAGCCGAGTGTTTTTTGTAAAATTTGGGTTTGATGATTCCTCAGGGCCAGTGAATCCCCCGCACCAGTCAGGAAGGCACAACGCAAGCCAAAAAGCCCCACAACCAACAGGTTACACATGTTTTTGTCTCAAACGTTCTTTAAGCCTGTTCTCAGAGTTTGTTTGGTTTATTATGTAAGGTTTGAAAACCTTATTGAGATTTCAGCTTTTTATTATTTTCCAGAACTCTGAAGCCAAGCCAGGGTCACACGTCCTCTTCTCCAGGCCAGATGAACCGCCAGGGGTGAATTTTTTTGTTTTTTTATTTTTTCCTTCTCTAACACTAAACAAGCCTTCAAACCACAACAGATATTTATTCTGAATTTCATTTTTTTCCACATTTAAATAATAATAATAATAAAAAAAAGTGAGTTTGCTGCTCTCTTTATTTTTGTACCAATACGTTCTGATGTAGTTCCTAGAGTTTGTTATATTTTACTTATTGTAGTTACCCATAATTCAGTATCAATAAATAGCAATTTTCAGTTTTGGCTGTATGTTTATATTTATCTTTACTGAGAGTGAACCTCTGCCTCAATCTAAAGTGTGTTGCCTCCTTAGGTGTTTAGCTTCATCCGTCCTCATCATCTCTATGTTTTATTGTGGGGATGGTGTGTAGTGTGATGATGTGCTTTTATTTTTCTCCTTCACTCTACATATTGAGGACAAAGTTCCAATAATCTTGTCTAATATAAATTTAAACTCTTAGTATCACTAGAAAATCACTATGTAAAAAGTTAAATTAATACACAAACGACAAACTAAAAATTTGTTTTCTACTTTCCCCTAAAGTCCAGATTTATAGTATTAGTTGATGTGATTAATTTGTCAAGTAGGATGCAGGTTGAGGTGGACCCAAATGCAGAGACTAACGCTGAAGGTTATTTCTAGCAGATTTATTTATCCAAAAAGGCAAAAGAAGCAAAAATCCAAAAACATAAATCCTCAGGCTCCACAAAAATACAAAAACCAGAAACTCACTTAAAGGGGAAGAAATGACGGTGAACCAGCAAAGAGTGACCTAACAGGAGGTGTATATATGGGAGACAGAAACAAAGCCCAGGCTGATAAGCAGATTGGGAGCAGGTGTGGACAGAGGAATCTATAAGGAAGCTAAGGGAAAGGAGACTGACAGAAGAGGGCAAACCAAAAATACAAAAGAACTCAAATACATCCAGAAAACACCACAAAATAGGAAATAAACCAATAAAACTAGAAAACACAGGAAAAACATAGATCAAAGTGAAACTGAAAACTGAAAACGAAAACTTAAACAGAGCCAAAACCGTGGCATAATGGTTTTTCTGTTATTAGTTCTTCCAGCTGAGCTTCAGATTTCATTCAGGACCATTTTAATAAATAACACAACATTAATATACAAGATATATAAAAAATATATTTCTTAAAGCAATAGTTCAGATTAGTTTATTGTTTATTCTCAACTTATGTAACCAATCAAATTGTATAAAAGGATGGCGTGGTTCAATACCTTTCACCACTCATACAGTGATGAACATTTAGCAGATGAGTAAAGTGTGTTTAAAGGATTAGATTTAACATGGATTATATACATAAATTAGACACATTTGCAAGTGTTTGTATTTTGAAGGAAATCAAAGTATTTAAAGTTGCTTTACTTACAGTGTCTGTTCTTCCTCAGGAGCTGGTGCAGAAAGACTCCAGAAGAGAGAGTGAGGATCTTGGACACAATGAGGAAGCAACACTCTGTGGGATGACTAACGCATTAATGCCTGATTTTAAAACTTGAATTTTTAATGTTAATATAAATCTTGTACAAGTGAAACCATTACTATCAGTGCTGCTAAGTTTCACTCCAGTCTCACTTTTAAACAAGAGTTCACCATCACACAGTAGCCCACTGCTTAAACGATCTAATGTGTAATATTTTTATTTTTACCTTTTGAAACCTTTTTTTTATTGTTAACTACTGATTGTATAACAGGAATGTAATAAGTGTTGAATAATTTATTAAGAAGGCTGGTGTTTTTTTGAGTAGAGAGGCAGCTGCTCAGTCAGAGCTAAACAAGTTAGAAATGTATCTGTGCCTAAGAACTACGGCGTGCTGCCAGCACGTTTATTCTCTATTTATCTCCTGGGATCATAAACACTAAGTGCTTGTGGTTGTAAGAAAAAAATAAATGAATAAAACTATCAGTTTCATGATATTGTAATTATTTTAAAATTATAATTTATATGTTCTTGCAAATGTATCCATACCTGTGAATTTACATTCAAACCAGAGCTGCAATGTATTTATTGGAATTTTAAATAATTTACTGAAAAAAATGTGGTGGAGAATCACACAAAGGATGAAAAAAAGGGTTTATAATGTTTTAAGGAGATTCATTCCCTTAACTGTGAGCAGTTACTTCCCTGCCAAAGACAGCGTCTTTACAGCATGGCCGCCACCACCACGCTTCACAGTATGAATGGAGTGTTTTTTGCAATGTGAGGTCATAGTTTTTTCTTAGTCATTGTTTTTTTGTGTTGTCTGGCCATTTTTGTCACTAGTGGTATTTATTTAAATGTGGCATGCAGGTGGCGCAGTGGTTAGCGTGCATAACCCATGTACGGAGGCCTTAGTCCTCGACGGAGTGAAATTTTCCATGATGGTGTCTTTCATGCTTACTTTTATCCATTACTTCAGTTTTGAAGTTACTAACCTGAGCCTTTCTCCTGCAGAGTTTCCAGTGAGCCCATCGTCGCAGACGAGCAGCCACACCCTACCTCAAACACTCTTTTAAATATATCAATGTCTGTCTCGCTTGAATTCTGGGTCCTATGTTCTGAGCTTTCTAAAAGAATAATATGGGGCCCACCCAGATAATGTTGCTTACTGTTATTGTGTCGTTACGCCATTGTTCAAGAGGAGGAACTTAAAATGCTTCACCACAAATATACAGTTGGTTTGGAAAAATGGAGATAAGCAATACTGAGTAAAGTGATATTAAGGAAAGAAGCATCAGACAGTGAATTAAAGGAGCTGATTAACAATGTCACCTGCAGAGATATGCAAACCATTTATGAAGAAATACGACAAATACAAACTCCTGGTGCAGAAGCAAGGCGCAAAGTCATTGCATGTACATCACTTTTTGCATTCATGGTCAGAAGAGCTGAGAAACAACTGCAAGGAGACTTTGCAGAAGGCGACAAAGAGCCTTGGCCAGATATTGGGTCATGCTTGGGATCTGAAAATACGACATCAAGGTCAAAATCTAGAAGGTCTAAAGGTAGTTCACAAACAACCAAGAGATTGGAAGCTGAGGCTGAGGCAGCTGCATCCAGAAATATTAGTAGTAATGGAAATTTTTTTACTGGATTACTGGGGCTGAGGCTGATGATGTTTCAAGAGCACACAAGCACATTATAACGCACCATTACTCATATTGAGAAATGGCCTTGATCTCGGTAGGAGGAGTTTAAGTTTTTTTTTTTTAAGAGTCTTGATAATGACGCAGTTATTTGATTTAGGTGCTTTAAAGTATATAATGCTAAGGTATTACTGTTTGCAGCCAGCAGAGGTCTTCCTTGGTTCCTTTGTTTAGAAAAGCCCTTTTGTTCAGCAGTTGCATGCAGCCCTATATCATGTCCAAAAGAGATTCCATAAAAAATTCTTTCAAGGGCCCATTTTATTTAACTTCTGAGTCTGTGTAAACAAAATCACAATAAAAGTTGTCTAATTCATATAAGTTTGCTCTTTGTTTAACATGGAGATATTCTGTTATGTCTCCCTTTTTAAAACATTTTTCTATATCTCTCCTGAAGGAATAAGCCAAATCCCCAAAAGACAGGATGTCCATCATCACTGCTACACGAAGGTCTCTGGATTGAACAAAGCAATACAAGAAGGAAACAGATGCAATGTTGGTAATTTTTAAGATGTTAAGCTCTGTTTTTATTCACTGCATTTGGTGATCATTAATCACAAGAACTGGTCCTTTATTTAAAAATAACCTTAGTTTCAAATGGCATGTGTTATGGGAGATCTACTTACACTATGTAAACAACTGATAGCAGGTACATAATTAGTCCAGAGCCACCTATTAAAATGAGGATTCTGCATACGTTCCTGGCTGTTACCATAGCAGGTTCTAAAGGAAATATGCAAACCCTTTGAGAGAGCAGAGTGGTTTTTTTTGTAGGTGTGGCAGTCACTGACTGACTGAACTTAAGCAACATGCCTCAGTGTCCACTCTTCCACTAGATTCTGGGACGAAAGACTTTATTCAGGTTCAAGTTTGTTTATTTCAGACATACAAGCATATAATAAAGACAGTATATGTCCATATATTGGAAGATGCAAGAAGCAGGTAATGCCCACTCTCCAAAGCCAATTTACATTAGACTAGAAAGCAAAGAAAAAAAGAAATAGAAAGACCAAAAGAAATGCAAACTTCAGCTCTCTGAAAAGCTTACAGCTTTTTGTTCTCCTTAGCTTATATAAGAGTATTGCAATATACTCTGTGGTTCAAGAGTGGCTTGAAACATTTATATTTATTCTATGTGTAGAATTTGAATTTGCCAAGAAGTGTAGTGGCTCTTGTGCTGAGTTTAGTTACAGTCCTCTTCTTGTTTAGCTCCCCCAAAGTCTTGAATGAATTTTACGAGACAATGTTAGACTGTAGTTCTACTTTTGCTGGCACCCCTTTTTCCCACCACAGCTTTTCCTTTTATTTACCTTTCTATGAAAATACTATACCTAAGGCTTTCTCATTATTCACATTTTGTAAGACAATTTTTTCTTATCTTTTCTTCTTTGATGTTTGATTATTGACATAGAAAACTCTGATTGCTGATTTATTTCATAGAATGCAGTAAAACCCAAGCTTTTTATATAGCAACACTTTGGATAGTTGCTAAAATAAACTGTTAAACATGATAATAGACCTAGTTTATTATTTTGAATATATAGAAGTTTTGCGAACTACTATTCCGAAAACTATTTGTATAAATGCATCAAGACAGATAAATGTGATGCTAAGAAATCAGCTGCTGCAAATCTTTATCAATTCTAATTCTTTTTAACTTTTAAATTATTGCTCTGACTGTAAATATTTTTGCAACAAATTTTTATAACTAATTCATGAATATTGATGATTAACACAAATGCTTTAAGTGCCTTTTTTCTTCTAAGGTACAGTGCAAGTAATGATGCCAAATAATGACACGATGAAACAGTTAATTCATAAAGACTGAAAGTATGAATTTATAAATGGTAATGTTACATTGATTTTTTGTTATGCTTACCAGTCACTGTTGCACCTCATAGAAAATTTGACATATGATTTTTCTTTCTATACTGAATAAATGTAAAAGAAAAAAAAAAGGTTGTTTTTCATTTGTCTGATATTTAAGAAACTTCTTTGTATTTAATTTTGGTTTAATGTGTTAAACTAACACTAAGTAGTGGGTTAATTATTTTCCACTTTCTTTTCTGACTGTCATCATCTTGCATTTATTACCACTAATTTCTCTGTCAACAGTTTTCATGCAGAAGAAAATCATTCCCAGGTCATTGTGAATTTATTTCATCATTTTAATGGCAATAAGGCAAGTTGAAAAAAAAGGCATGCACCCTCACCTAACTGAACAGATCTTAACTATAACCATAGCTCTAAATTTCACCAAGATTCCAAAACAAATAAAAATCCCAACAGAAAGAGAAAGAAATAACTCCCACCACACTTCCACTTTTGATATATTTCACATGTAAGTCCAAATATCAATACATTCACTCTCTTCTTTTGAAACTTACCTTTGATTCTACTGAATATATTACATGTAAGACTACTTTCTCAGTAAATGCAAAGCTTATGTAAAATAAACTTTCAAAATAAAGAGTTGCATATTATACTCCTGCATATAACCAATGCAACTTGTTCAATATAATATTAAAAGTAATAAACATAAGATAGATTTTTTTTTCTCCTGTAATTTTGTTTAAAGCACTAAAACATGGATTTGCATCAAACCTGAATGATTTGCAATTTTACTTTCACTTTCTAAATTCCTTTGGACAAAATGAAAAACAGTTGCAAATAAATTCAAAGGGAAAACAAATCTAAATGGCTATGATCCAGACCTGAAGAAATAACATCTTGGCAAAACAAGCTTTGGTCATCTTTTCTTATTCTTCATGCTGAAGTTTTTCTTCTTAATGGATGTAGATGTGTCCTGTGATGAATCCCACTAATAAGTGTAGCTGTTCAATAGAAAGCCACAAAAACAACCTTAAGTTTTAGATGAAAAAATAAGAAAAAAAAATCTTTGTTTATTGTGGTATTTACCTTAAAAGTGATCTCTATTCTGGCTGTTTTGCAGCAGCTCATCGTAGAGTTTTTGTACCAGTTCAAACTCTGCTGAAACGTCTAGGAACACAGTCTCTATTAATTTTTTTCTTTTAAAAATGCATTTTGTTTTAAAAACTGAAAGCTTACCTGGAATTGACTGATAATCAGTCCCAAGAGAGACCTCAGTAGCTTCCTTCATGGTACGCTCTAATCTTCTGAGAATTTCCTCCTGATTAAGTATCAAAATATTTATCTCTTGGTGCAGTCAAACATCATTTACACAAAGACATGATTAGTTTCGTAGGTTGCCCAAAACCTCTTTCCAAACTGCTTAATGAATCCGAAGCATATTTTTACTGACTGGTTAATATTTCTCTGTAAATAACCTTATAATCTCTAGCATATAAAGAATCTATTTACTTTGATCAATAGATTTTAACAGCAGGTGATAATGCCCTTAGACAAATTAAGAAACAAGAAGAAACAGACAAGAAACAGAAGGCTGTAGTTTTCCACAGCATTGTATGGATCATCATGTGGCAGTGTAACAGGTAGTGTCATTTATATTAAACTTGTTGAATATAACTCACCATTAATTCACGCAGTTCGATGAGCATAACAATTTTAGCATGTTCAAACATGTTGTTCTTTAAACCAAATACATGTTTCTCAATAGTTTCCCGCATGTTCTGCAGTGTTCCAGGGCCTGAAAATACTACTGCTTCTGGAAAACATCAGAATGAAGTGTTATTAAATATAATGAATATATAATTAGAATTTTAAGTACTTTATATAATTTTCTTACCATTGTAGCAGTCTTGCATGGATTTTTCAATTGTCCTTATCAGACTTGTGTAGACTGTTTTCTTCTGCTTACGGGTACTTTTGCTCAGGTTTGCTTTCAGAAGGTCTTCCTAAAAATGAGTGAAAACAACATGACACTTAAAAAGTAACTTTAACCTCCAAGAACCGTTTTGATGTAATGCCAATCTCGATTCAATTCCAAGAAAGTTAAAAAAAGAATCCACTGGACTTGGTTTCCAACTTTGAAGATGTTTCGCTTCCTATCCAGGAAGCTTTTTAATTAAAAATGTCAGAATTAGCTTTATATAATAGCCCAAAAACCTGTTTTGACTTAGAAAACATGCAAATTGAACCAGAAGAACTGGTCTGACCCTTAGGAATGGGAAGTCATTTTGGTTTCTTTGTTAGCCTGCACTACCCGGCAGGGGCGGATTTAGGAAATTTGGGGCCCTAGGCAAAGATAGGCAGGGGGCCCCCTGAGAAGAAAACCCATAAAACAGACCCATTCTACAGATAGAGAAATGTTAATAGAATAGACATCCATTATTTGTTCTAGGTTTTGTCCCTCTCTTCTTGTCCCTTTTTCCTCTCTATTTATCAGCGTTCTGATGGCATTTTAGCCAAAGGATTTTTATCAAAAACATAATTAATGTGCACAAATAAGGATTAGTTGTATTAACTATACATGGAAACAGAGTTTTATGGGGCCCCCAGGAACTTGGGGCCCTAGGCAATTGCCTAGTATTGCCTAATGGTAAATCCCCCCCTGCTACCCGGTACTGGGCTATGCCTCTGAGAGGAGGGTCATTAGGGGCAGTTGTTGGTTTGGCTGCCCAGGCGAGCTGTTTTGTTCCTTGCATGGTTTCTCTTTCTTAACGTAAATGGCTTCTCCACACCTCTTTCAAACCGCCTGTCTTCTTTGTCCAAATTGTGAACATCCTGGTCCTCAAATGTTACTTAGGTGCAAGTGGAGAGTGGACAGCCCTGTCTGGAAGAGCTAGCACTTCTGTGTTGAGCTATGCGTCTTTGGAGAGGTTGTTTGGTTTATCCAATATGAAGATCAGAGAATTCCTCTATATCCATTTTGTTAAGAAAAAAAAAAACTTAAGCAGAGGGGGTGAATTCAGGTTTCGGCCAGTGTTGTTTTTGACAGGCATCTTAGATTTAATCTTAACAACCAGGTTTTTTACCAGACTGACAGCTCTTGCCTAGATAATACAATGTCTGGATATAGGATGCTGTCAAACAGTTCATCATTGCTGTTGGGCAGAAAACTTTGATTAATAGAATTCAAATAATCTTTTTAATGAAACAATGCCCTACTTTATAAAAAAAATGACTCACAAAAGCTGTGAAAATAGCAGATCTAGCTCAACATATTGGTTAATACAGCAGAAAGACAAGCTAACAAACTGTGCAGTAAAGGAATTGTTTTAGACACAAAAGGTTTCCATTCAAAAGCAAATACTTCCTGATCTTCTATGATTGCTCCAAAGAAGCAAAGAACAAAAATATTCTTCTTTCTACTTTGACCATTCTGGCTTTATTCCTGAGAATTCCCCCCTTTGGTACCACTGCTCAGGGGTCAAAGTGGATTGAAATTCACAGAGTTTTGATATAAAAAAAAATACAGAGAGAACCTACATAATTGCTTTGTAATTCTATGGCAATCCAGACATAAATTGAATGAATATGTTAACTAAAATGTTGACATTTTTTAAGGAAACAGAGGAAATGTTTTAATGACAATACAACTAAACATTTACATCACATTTAAATAGAAACAAGAACATCCATCCATCCATCCATTATCTTACACGCTTGTCCCAAGTGGGGTCGCGAGGGGTGCTGGTGCCTATCTCCAGCAGTCAATGGGCGAGAGGCGGGGTACACCCTGGACAGGTTGCCAGTCCATCGCAGGGCAACACAGAGACACACAGGACAAACAACCATTCACACACACACTCACACCTAAGGACAATTTAGAGAAGCCAATTAACCTAACAGTCATGTTTTTTGGACCGTGGGAGGAAGCCGGAGTACCCGGAGAGAAAGAAACGAGAACAATTAGAGAGAAATATTCAAAGATCTATGTACCTTTTCACCTGGCTCTTTGTCCAAAAAATAAACTAAATGAAAGGAAATAATTTATATGGATATAATTTAGGGATTGCTTTGGGTAGAAATTAAAGAATGTTTAGTATCACCTCTTGTGAGCTGGAAGAAATAAAATATTGATAGTAAAGGGATTTTTTATGCTTGCATGAGGATGATCAGCCACATAGTTTATTAAGTAGTGAGAGCAGAAAGAGCCATAGTTCTGAGAGCTATCCATTGGAGTGGAGTGTGAAGCGTCGAGTCAGCGCTACGCTCGTGCAAAGACATGTATCTGCACAAGCACAGATGAAAGATCAGAACAGTCAGTACCGGTTGTCAGAGCAGTACCGGACCAATCCGGATTATTTTCTCAGACCCTGCCGCTGCTGCCACGATGCATCTGAGGTCATGCAGAATGTGTAGCGCTGCACGCCAGGTGCCAGGATCAAGCAAGACGCAGCAGCACAGCTGATACTGCTTAGCAGATTACAGCATGATGATGCAGTTTAAACGTCTGACCGACCACCTGCTAATTTTTAAAGTCTAGTCTCGTCTCGTTGACGAAAACTCAAACCAGTGACTAGTCATGTTTTAGTCATCAAAGATCCATGCTTAGCTCGTCAGTTTTCGTTATCGTCATGAGCATCAACGAAATAATTTTGTCACCGTTGATGAAAACAACTCTGGTTTCAGCTCTGAAAAACCTACAATGCAGTGATAGAGTTAATTCCTTCCCGCTATCATTTAAACCCCCCACCTCCATCAAGGGGAAAAAACATCTCGTCTTGGCAGCCAAGCCAACAATTGCCCCTAATGACCCCCCTTTCTGAGGCATAGCCCATTATCGGTATTGCAGGCTAGCATAGAACCCGAAACGACTCCCCATTCCCAAGGGGCGGACCCATTCTGATGCAATTTGCAAGTTTTCTAAGCCAAAGCAAGTTTTTAGGCTACTATATAAAACTTCGAACAAAATGATAATTTTGACATTTTGAATTGGAAAAGGTTCCTGGATGGAAAGCGAAATGTCTTCAAACTTTTAAACCAAGTTCAGTGGATTGTTCTTTAACTTTGTTGGAATGACTATGACCTGGATGACTGAGAATCTTCTTAAAAAATCTCGATTTCTTAATTAAATAAAGGCTCGTCAGGAGTTGCTTCGACTGTCTTGCTGACTATCTTAATTCATAATATATAATTTTGTTTTAAAACTTTAAGCCAGGATAAATGAATTTAATATATTACATCCTTGTAATTTACCTTACTTACCTCTGACTTGAGGAATAGCAGCTGCAGTTCCAAATCTTTGTATGTTTGTTTTAGTCCATCAGTGCCAAGTGTAAAAGTATTGATCGCTCCATTGAATGGATCGCATTGTCTTTCATTTCTGAAACATTTTCAAATCAGTCATTGCATCAGTATTCAAATAATTTAATACCCCTGACACTGTTCTGCATTAGTGGTGCAGTTCAATAGTGTACCAACACAGAAACCTTTATTCATCACTGTTTACCAGTACATCATACCAGGAAACTGTTTGTGAAGGAATCTTTGGATACATATATAATGTCATGGTATGACTGTTGTTACTTAAAGATGCTTCACAGATATAACACCTTTATAAATTTCCACCAATAATTTTATTATAATAATACTTAATCTGAAGTTGCGCTATGCATGAATTCTGTTTACAGATGATACAGATGAAGATTTACACACTAAAAACAAGACAGTCTGACTTATATTAGCTTTTTTTTCTTATCATGTGACTACTTGGGCCACTCAAAAACACTGCTTTTTGGTTAAACTTTCATTTTAATGATCATTAGGTATAGAGAAAAAGGATAATGTCACCCCTTTATGTAAAACAAAATTTTTTGATGCAATTCTAAACTTTTCATTATGATATATGCGTTGTCAAAAGTGGTTGTGCATTAAAACAATATTAAAGCAATAATTAAAACTAGAACTTTAGAGAATTTCATTTTTAATGGATGAACTTGTTTATGTATTTGACAGCAGGGGGGAAAAAATTGGACCAGGGGTATTTTCTAATTTTTCATATCAATGTTGGAACCCACAATTTGAAAAAGAGATGGAGCAAGGACCCCTTGCTATATTCTACCCTGGAAATAAAAGGGAACATCATTGTTTAAGTATTTAATTGGAGGAAAGGACAAAGGCATTAACATTTGAGGTGTGGTTGAGATGCTGACAACAAAGATTTAACCTGTTAAGCTAAGAGGGTTTCGACTAAATTCTAATTTAAAACAACATCAGTCCCTCTATGTGCAAACTTTTTTTACATGTGTAATAGTATAAAAGCTTTCTCTTCTAAAGAAATTCACCCCCCCATCACAGTACCTCTGCAACCCCTGCAAAGACCACTGGGTTTAGACCAAAGATTATTCATTATTCATGATTGTTTTTTTAAGATTATCCAAGCGGCAGAGTCAAAGTCCAGAACTAAACTAACTGAGAAACCTTTTTCTAAACTTGAAAATTGCTCTTTACAGATGCTTTCCATCTAATCGAGCTGAGCTTAAGCTATCTTACAAAAATCACTGGAAAAGATTGTAAATGAAGTAGATAAACTGCAAAAAATACTTTCACGTTGTATACAAAATTGTAAATCACACACTTATTCGTTTAACGTTGCACAAATAGGCTTCTTTGTGTTGGTTGATCCAAAATCCCACCTTGCAATTGCAAAAAGTTTAAAAGGTATGAATATATTTTTAAATCACTTTAACGTGCTTATGAAGCTCTTACAGAAAGGTTTCTCTGAATAGCTTGTCAATGCTGTCAGTCAGACAGGAGGTTAATTTCATGTTGAGGTTTATTTCTTTCCCCTTTTTAGGTTTCCAGATGCCACCATTCTCTACTGCTTTTTTCAGCTGACTACAAAAATCCCGACCACTCTTACCCTAAAAGGAAGCACATAAAGAAAGATAAATTTATAATTAATACAAGGGGGTAAGAAAACATTATACAATCATATACATCTTAAATTTACTTCCTTAATACTATCAGAAAATTACCTTGGGATATAGGACAGACTTCAAGATTTCTTTACATGAGCTTTTGGATTTCTCAACTCCTTCTTGAAGGTGTTTTTCAAAAGCTGCGTGAATCTTATTCATTTCATTTATGACTGACTCAGTTTGAAGGCTTAGGTTTTTGTCAAGAGCTTCACGCACTTCTTTATTTCTGCCATTCTAAACAAAATATGAAACAAAAAAACTATGTCAGCAATTGTTCAAAACTATTCTAGCCCCTGTAAAGCATCATATTAGGATTTTTAAAGTAACTTGGTTCCTAGACTTATTCTTCAAAATGGCATTTGTTAAAACATCTGAAGATGGTGAAGCATTAACTTCTCACTCTTACCTCTTGTCTTAAGTTGGCCCCGTGCATCAGAGAGAGGATGCCACGTGCTCCAGACACATAGTGTATGGTCTCTGAGTGACAGTCATTGAGATTTTGCAAAAATTCTTGAAGTCTAGGAATTTCTATGGAGGCATAATTAGTTCGTTTCTGGTTCTACTTTATTCTAATCTAAAAAGGTGCATCATTGATATGGACAAAACATACCAGTGTTTTCTGGACTTAGATGTTTGTTTGTGAAGAATTCTTTGGAGCTCACTGTGAACACTTTGATAGAGTCATCGCTGAAGTGTTTCTAAGCAGGTTTCATATATTTTATTACATGTAATTATTAATTCTGATTTTATCTGTAGAAAAAAAAATTGCTATATATTGTAATGGAATTCAGAACTCACCTTAATCTTGGTCAGTTTGTTTAACTCTTCGATCACCCCATCTTTTGCTGCCTTGTTTCTTTTAAGGATTAAAGACTGAACATCAGCTATAGAGCTAAAAGAAAAGAAAATATCAATTGAGACTTAAGATACCTTCATGTCTGCAGGCAATAAAAGAGAACATGCAAGTAAAGTAGATGAACCATCTTTGGCATTTCTCAAAGTTTATTTAGCAATACACTTAAGAGAATAGTGGTAAACTTACTTATCATATGAATGGCTAATATCATCAGATTTGGTGCAGATTATGTGAATGTGTTGACATTCTCCACCATTTCCAATTAGATTGCAGACATTTTTTAGGATTTCCCAGGATTCCTTGTCTGCAGCTGCTCTGTTGATTTCAGTAACAACCCAGACAGCTGAACAGTTTCCAATAATCTAAAAACAAGTACCGTAATATATACGTTTAGGAACGAATAACACAGAGTCTCTCACTCCCTGTTTCTCTCTCTCTCTCTTTCTATACATATATGTATGTATGTATATATATATATATATATATATATATATATATATATATATATATATATATATATATATATATATATATATATATATATATATATATATATATATATATATATATATATAAATATATATATATATATATTAGATTTCAGGTATTAATAAAATAATACATAACAAAAGGAAATTAATAAAGTAAATTACCTCTTTCCACATGGTGTCTCTGCTCTTATTACGGTCACCATTGCCGGGAAGGTCGACAAGTGTGACATTCTGTAGGAAATTATTATTTGGTACCCTAACAGTGACACTCTTCACAATTGGCCAATACCACTTCTTTATGCTTTTATTTCTTCCTTTTATTGAGGCATTTCTGGTATACTTGGTAATATAGTCAGATAGGTCTCTCGCCTGCAAAAACATGATACTAATTAAATTGCGCTAGCAGTAAAAACACTGACATTTTGAGGTTCCTTTGATAGTTATGTGCCTTTTTAATGATATTGTAAAAATGAAAGAAGAACCAGATCTATTTGATTAAGGTGAAATTCTAATTAGGTATCCCCCTCAGAAATGTGTCTTTCTTTCTATTCCTCCAGTACTTCAACTGCTAAAAAAAGGATCAAAACCAAGTGTGATTATTGTACATCTTTTTTGTTAGGTTCCATTTAAACCTAGCCAAAGAAAAAAGTGGTTAATGTTCTATTTTGATTTTATAGACAGGGTCATTTTCTTATGAAAACCTGTCTTATGAAAAGTGTTTCAAGGCTTTAGAAAAAAAAAACCCTGGCAAGGAAAATGTCCTGAATTAGATCCAGAGAATCTAATCAGAAATTTGACTTACAGTTTAGGGACTCGTTTTGGATGTGATCAACCATTAAATGGATGTTATTATCCATTGTAAGTCCCATAGAATGCCTTCAGACTGTGCCTCCTCTACTTTCTGGTAGGTTTCTTATGGCTGAGACTATGCAATTTATAGTTCATAGCAGCAGCTTTGGTCACCCCTAAAGCCATTACAATTGACTGACTTTTATTGTTATCTACTTTATTTACAAAACACCAACTGGTGGTAAATAACTCAGTTTTAAATTGAAAGATTTTAAAGAACTACTTTTCATTCAGTGATAACATCCTACTGACCCCATTAGTATGTAGGAGCCATAATCTGGAGCATTTTTATTGGACAGCAAACTATTAAAAATGGCCCTTTAATGGGATGATAACATCCAAACCAGATGGTTTATGAAAATGATTCAGATTCAAAAATAAGCATACACATTACTGTATCATACTAGTATAAAAAGATACTGTTAACATTATCTTTGTGTCTTACTGATGCAAAGCCCAAAGTTTTCTGCTTTAAAAGAAGAAATTCTGGGATTTCTTTGAAGTACTTGGGCTCCATCAGCTGCTCAGGGGATTTTTCTCTCCATTCTTCCTCGTACAGAGCGGTCAGCTTATCAACTGCATCATGGTAATCATCATCATCATTGTCATCATCGTCATGGTTTTCTTGAATACCATTATCAACCATACAACGCAATAACCCCAACTCATCTTCCCACTCCTAAAAATTTAGACATACGCAATGTGTAAAATTATAGGAAGTTGATTTTCAGATCACATTTTGAAAAATATTTTCTTGGATTACCTCTGGTGTGATGAATTCAATCACTAACTCATATTTTTTATTGTATCTGTTAGACTCCACTTTAATCATGACTGATGTACAGGCATCAACACTTCCAGAGGGTAAAAGCATCTTCTCTTCTATGAGAGCGTTTATCAAAGAGGACTTTCCAGCTCCAGTTTTACCAAAGACGCCCACCAACTCCTTCTTCTCTGTCTCCAGGTTTTTTATTTTATTCCTTTAAAATGTATCAGTTATTGGTTAATGCAACCATAACATTCATGTCAAATCATATTTGATAATTTTAAGTAGTTTAATAATGGCTTTATGCCTTTAAATTTAGAATATGTAAAAATGCATGCAAAATGGTAAGATATTATCAATAATCCTGGTTAGGAATAAATCAAGTCAATACTTTCAAACAGAAAATCGACTTACTTCAAAAATGTGCTGAGCCTTGTGTCATCTTGATCGTACAGTTTGGCTGCAATACTCCCCATTGTGTTTTTCACATGATTCAATATCACTGCTTCTTTTTCTACAATTAAAAAATATGAATAAAATAACATAAATAATAAATAAATACCTAAATAAAATAAGTTTTCCAGTATGGTACACAAAACCTTCATGTGTTAATCGAAACTATAGTCACAGTTGTATCCACATGAAAACAATTGACTTTTATTCTGTAAAAAAAACATGTTTGAAATCTTAAATTGGATATTTTATTTACTAAAGACAATTGAATATGTGTCAAAGCCTTTCCTCTGGTAAAACAGATCTCTTCAGCATAAAGCTGCTTCCATTTGCCTGTTAGCAGATTATTTGTAAGCATGTCTTATTTATCATAATTGAATGAACTGCACTGCATAATTATGACTGAAATAATACAGAAGATCATGGATAATACATGTAATTGTGTTTTAGCTTGAGCGTGTCCTTTTTGCTGCTCTTGTATGACTATGATGCTTTCGTTTTGCTTCTTTTATTTCCAGTTTCCTTTGATGTATAATTTCAATTATAACAGCAAACCTCTACGGCTTTAACACATCCTGTAATAATATATTTAGGTACATCTCATGTAGACATATGTATGTCAACTTGAGGGTTCTCTGTACTCTTTGTATTCATATTTAAATTACATGTTTTATGCTGTTGGTGAGTGCAATAGATTTTGGGGGTATTTTTAAATTGGGTTAGTATGTTGATAAAATTAGTAGGAGTAACATACTGTTACATTAGCATTATTTCTGCTAGAAAGTACCAATTTCACAACTATTATTAATTTAAAATTTCATCATTCCTTCACTAGTCCTACAATAGAACATCTTCAGGAAAAGCTGGGCTGTGTTTTAAGTACTAATCATATTTATTTTTTGCACCAAAGTTGATTAAAAAAAATTACCTGTTGACCGTTTTGTCCCACACGGCCTTTTTACAGCTGGTTCTCCTTGGTTAGACTCACACCGTGGGTCATGTTTACGCTTTCCTAGTTTTAAAATATAAAAATGAAGAAGCCTTAGTTTCTCATTTGCTTTAAATTTATAAAGGCAATGGAAAGGAATGGCCTTGACTCTGTATTTGTAATTCTTACCTGTATCGCTTGTAGATGGCATTATCTGGGATTAAAAGAAAAGTTAGACAATATTCACAAATGTTTTTCTATCATTTCAAATTTAGAAAAATAGGTTTTTACCAATCTTCTGTGTTCACAATGAACTAAAGGAAACAACGTTGACATGAACGAGATGTAAACTGGATGACAACAGAGGTCCCGACAATAAGCAAACAAAAAAATCCTGACTTAAGTAAATCAAGAAGCAAATGAGAACAGTAGAGTTCCATCAACTGCAACGCAAACAGTTGTGGTTGTGATATCAAAGATAAATCTGAGGACAAGCAGTGAACCATCAAGAATGGCATCACCATTTGTTTTTATAAGAATAATATTAAGTTAAACATTTCTTAAAGCTGCATCTCAGAAAAGTTATGTCATTTATCCTGCGCACCTGATTTCTATTGATGTTTGATTTACAGGCTTTTATTTAGCTACAATCATCTAAATCTGTTTATTTTGGAGCAGGGTTAACTGTCTGTAACACCCTTGCTGTAAAAGCAATGCTTGGCAAGTTTATTTATTTCAAATCTTTTTTTAATGTGAAAAACATTTCAAAATATTATACATTTATACACATTCAGAGTTTTCTATTTTAAGTAAGAGATAACAACACAAACAATAACCCACACACAACAACAAATACCAAAGCCCATCCCCAGCCTCACACAAACACATAACCCACCCTGGGACTTCCTGATTCTTTTCACTGCTGAGGCAATAAGATATTATAGATAAACAAAACAACATCTTAACAAAATCGATAAATGTGCTGGAGAAGGGGATACCAAATCTCCTCGAATTTCTCCAGTTTGTTAGATAGCACATACTGTATACTTTCTAGGTGCAAATGTCGGATCATTACGTCTTACCCACATTTTACCAGTAGGGGTCTCACTTTTCTTCCAAAATTCTACGGGTAGTTTCTTAGCAAATTTTGTTGGGGTACTGGGATTAAATTAAACTTATCTGACATGCCTAGCACCACCAAAATTGGATCTGGTACCAGCAAAGTGTCAAGCATATCCGATATTTGTTTAAATATCTGGACCCAGAATGGTAAAATCTTAGGGCAAAGACAGTAACTGTGAAGAAGAGAGGCTTCATCTGCCATACATTTATCACACAATGGGGAGACTTCTGGGAATATCTTGTGTAGTTTTGTTTTTTAGAGGTGGAGTCTATGGATGATCTTAAACTAAATTTAAGAATGTGTTGAATTAGCAGAGCATTTATTTATGTTTTCCAAATCATCACCCCAGATTTCTTCATACAGTACAAAGAGTTTTGATACCCTGCATGGATGATACGGACCTGCTTAATAAAAAATATTCTAGGCAAGTTTATTTGCATAGCATAATTCTGTACAGGGACATAATTAGAATGCTTGGTGGATTTTTGCTTTACATAAATGAAGCAAAAATCCACTGTTATATTTTCTCACCTCAGATGTACTAGCAGCTTCTTCTGCCCTCTGTTGACCCTGCAAATACATAACTCCTTTACAAAGCTTCTTCAAAATTTAAAACTAAAAAAGATTTTAGACTATTTAACCCAATATAAGAATACATTGTATATCAATTGTATAGGAACATTGTTTATCATCTGGTTGGGATTTTATTCCTCCTTGTAAAATATTTTTTTGCAGACCCAAAACAACTTAGTTTATCCCTCATAATTTGTGTATATGGTTTATGTGTCTTCATTGTTATTACTATTATCAACAATTATGATAGCATACTAATAACCCACCCAAATAAAAACATATTCTATTTGTAAGTTAACATTACCTTCAACTGACTGAGTCCGTTTTTAAACTTTGATCTTGGTCCCATTTTTGGAATCAATTCATTAATGTCTTCATTCCCAAGGCAATAAAGACTTTCAGAGTCAATCCCTTCATCTGAAATCCAAAAGTACTCTTGTTATTTTATTGATTAAAGGATATATATATATATAAAGAGATAAAGGGGGAGAGAGAGAGGTGTTGAATGTGTGTGTACAAGGGTCATTGTTATTTATAGTTGTTGTTCATGTAAACTTTAGCATACTTTAGGCAGCCTTAATTATGTTTAATGTAGCCACAACAACACAGTCTGATTTCTTGATTCTATTAAGTACTACATGTTGGGTCAGCCCTAAGTGGTTCTGCAGGAAATTAGGTTTGGATTCTGGGAGGTGGTAAAGAAGTGTTGAGGCTTTAAAGAACTTTATAGGTCACAATCACAATGAAGATTATTTACTTAAGTAACTCCATAAACACTGCATTTGTGTTTAGCTTTTCATTGTGTTCCAAATATGATTACTTAGGTTATGAACATTCAATGATACATGATGTTGTAAAACAGCAACACAATTTTAGAGCTATGTCTTTCAGATGAATGGCATGAAATATTATGTAGTGTTATACTTTACCTCTAAATTTTTCTATCAGCTCACTCAGCCCCCACTGACTTAGTTTGTCACAAACAAAGTCATCCATGACCACAAAAAAAACTGAAAGACAGATTATGTTTTAAAACTACAGTAGTTATATGTTTCACTAGTTTAGAAAATAGATGTTTAGGTGTTAAGAAAAGAAAATAAGTTAAAACGCTTACCTTGTAAAGAACAAATTTATTGCAAAAATTGTTCACACATCAAAAAGAAAAGAAAGTCTAAAATTAATGATAAAATGCTTTCTGACCAAGGTAAATACGATACCTATGAGGTTCACCTGTAGAATGACAGAAAGCAGAATGTGGACTAGAAGAACAAGAGGGTGTGGCATATAGGGACTTGGAGAGACAGAAGAGGAAAAGCGATTTATTTTCATCAAGAAAATGTTTATTTGAAAAAAATCATTATACAGACTATGAAAGCACTGAAATTGCACCGAGAAGTAAAAAAGAAAAAGAATAAGAAACCCCGAAGAATAAAAGAAAACAATGTTTTGTTGTCTCAATGCTTTGAGACGTGCATGCAAAGCCACCAATAATTCCTGTCGTTGGTGTGCTATGGTAAAAATGTTCATACATCTGTTTCTGTAGGGACTTGTCTAGACTAGTTACGGTGAACTGGTACAACAAATATGAATACTTTAGTTAAGAAACCACAAACAGAAGAATACAATTTAAAAGAGGTAAATAAACAGACAATAAATCCACAAAGAGGTGTAGGAAGAGTACAGATGGCTGTCAAAAGGTTTTTATTTCCCCTGAAGCAATTTCATTCTAGGATTTACTTCATAACTTCTTTTGTAAAAGTAAAAAAAAAAGCAATAAAAAATTGGGTGGAGACCTGCCTGGCAGTTATTTTTCAGTTAAACTTCCAACAGAATAGACAAACATCACAAACACCACAGATGTCTTTTTCTGCTTTGGATCATCTTTTGAGTTTATTGTGAGTTTCTACTGAGCTACAGCAGACAGGAAATTATATTACAGGAGTTTTTTCTTCCTTTATTGATGAATTGTTTTTCTAGATGTGATGATATTGGTAAACAAAGTACTGAGCAACACAGATGATTTCAACATTAAAATTACACATACACTTCAATTAAACATTAGTCAGTGTTCTGTCTATCTAAAGTAATCCATCTACTTTACCACTTTACAGTTATTAATTTGTAAAGAGCATATGGCCAGCAAATGCTGGTTACAAGGATTAAAAACTCTAGAGGCTCTGCAGCTCCTTTGGTTTGAAACAACTGCACAACAATATCGACAGACAACAATAATTTCCAAATCAGGGCATAGAACAAAAGAGATACCGTATCAACCCAACCCCCTTACTTATTTGAAATTGTTTTATTAAAAGTCAGAGCATCAAGTTTCCAGGGTGGGCAGACCAGCTGCCATTAGGCTGTGTATATGTTTTACACATATTTTGTTATCAATTATCAATGTCAAATAAATATAGGTATTTGATTTAAGCCCATCAACAATTATCATTTTTAACTGATGCAGTGATGCAGTGTGATGCAGCCAGTGATGTGGTGTCGTATATTTACCTTTGAATGTTTATACCAACTCAACCAGTCCCGACTGGTTTATTTTCTCAGAAACGAAACAATCCATGCTTTGCTTCGGTATCTGCGTGCAAGTGTTCACTAATTTCTCCCCCTGGCTTGCTGTGGGAACAGATCTCATATGTTATAGCTGTTTCCTGTCTGGACTTGTCTCGATCAGTCATAATGAGCTGCGACAACAGACATAAATACTTTAATTAAAAAAAAAAAAAACGGTAGAATAACTTTAAAATGAGGTAAATAATTGGAAAGTGAAACCACAAAGATTATATATATATATCTTAACTGCTTTTATCAAAGAACAACAGGAATCAGAAAATGGGTGGACCAGTTACCTTCCCGGCAGTTATATTTCCATTAAATGTTCAACAGAACAGAGCAACATCATAAATATCCTCAAACCTTTCTGAAGTCATAAGACATATTACGATTTTGACTTTGGCTGATGACACTGCGGTGGTGAGCCTCATCTTAGACGACAATGACCAGGACTATAGAGAGGAGGTGGAGCAGCTGGTGGGCTGATGTAGAGACAACAACCTGATCCTGAACGTGGAGAAGATGAAGGAGATCATTGCCAACTTCAAAAAGAACTGGCCCAGCCATATTCCACTGCTCATCGAAAGCTCAGCTGTAAAGGTGGTCAGCAGTACCAAGTCCTGGGGTACACATCACATTCAACTCATTTGGACTGTTTACACCACCTCACTGGTTAAGAGGGCACAGAAGCACTTGCACTTCCTGTAGAGGATGAGGAAAGCCCACCTGCCCCCACCCATCCTTCTACAGAAGCACCATAGAGAGCATTCTAAGCAGCTGTCTCACTGTGTGGTGTGGAGGCTGCAGCGCCTCAGACTGAAGAAGTGAGAGGAGGGGTAAGGACAACAGAGAGGATCACTGGGGCTCCTCTTCCCTCCATTAAAGACATTTCATCCCAGCGCTGCTTGTCCCGAGCCTGTAATAGCATCAGTGACCCTTCACACCCCCACCATGGACTGTTCTGCCTGCTGCCCTCTGGGAAGAGGCTTCACAGCATTCAATGCAGGAACGGCAGGTTCTGCAACAGCTTTCTCCCCGCTGCCATCAGACCATTGAACTGTTGAAACTCTATTCAAAATACTAAACAAGACTCCCACTTGTAAACATCATATTTGCACTATCACTGCATGAAAAGTGGGATTTTCGTCAATATGCGGCACTGTAGATTGTCGTGGAACTTCAGGTTAGCAGCAGTTTTCGACAATTTGCAGGCTTCGCCGAAAACTCCCATAAATTGTCAGAAATTGACGTGGACTCTCTTAGGCAGTGTTCCCCCCATGCCTCCCCCCCATGGAATTCTAGGGGAGGCTTTAACATGTAAATGAACATGCTGTGAGCTATACAAATGCAAATCAGGGTTGCAGGGGGGGTTTTACACCAAGTGACATCTTTCTGAAAGGTAAGAATACAAAGAGATCAGGCTCAGTATAGCCTCTCACATTTTAGCTTGAATTGATTTATTTAATTAAAGTATAGAGACCAAAACAGATCTTTAGCTGACAGAGCAATACATTTAGAGCAGTAATTATAAATAAAAAAATTGCATTTAAGATAAAAAATAAAATGTTGTCTGTCAATTTGCTCAATTCACAATTACTTAAGTGGAAAAGTTTCAAGAAATGAGTCTGAGATGATTCACTTTATAACATGGCGCATTATCCTGTTGGAAGTAGCCATCAGAAGATTGGTACACTGTGGTCATAAGGTCCGGCCAGGTCAAGATCCGCAATTGCAATCGCACCAAACAGGAAAAAGAACATCGACAAATTCCGGTTCGTCAAATTAAAATATAGCAGCAACAGATCGGTGACTAGAAATTATAGCACAATTCTTATATATACAAAAAAAAAACTAACACCGTTTATTTAAATGATTGGATCCAAACTATTGGTTATTCACCAACGAGGAAGCAGATTTCTCATCTCCATCAAAATATTTATTTTATACCGAGGGACTTAAACTTTAATCAAATCCATTCAAAAGAAACTTCTTATTACAGGAATGAAAAGAGATGCTGAGTTTGGAAGTAGTGAACAAGTTCATTAAAAAAAAAGCAGTTTTGAATTATCCTTATCCCCGTTACAAAAATCTACAAAAATATATATATATATTTGGGCAGAAACTGAACATATGCTGGATGATGGTGGGATTTTTTTAATATGTCATATTAAATTAAGCGCTCACAGGGTTCATACAGGAATGAGTGACTCTAATTTAATGCTATTTTAATGCTATTAGAAATGATTTTAATGCCATCAACAAGAACCATGTACACAAGTTATTAGTGTACATGAAATATGAAGGAGCTGCAAGCAGAGTTCCATGACTCCTGTATGTATGTAAACACACACACACACATATACGTATATATATATCCTCTAGCTTTTTCTCCGCCTGGAGCTATATAATA